ACCGGTGCATGAGAGAGAACCACACTGCGCCGTGCTCCCGATCGGGCTGCAGAAATTAGGTGCCTTTCTCCTCTTCAACCGCCACTACCACTCCACGACAGCTTTATTTTTCTCTTTCTCTCTTTGCACGTGGCGTTGGAAGGAGAAGGGTCTTTACGATGCAGGGGCGGAAAAGGGAGAAGCGTGACACGGGCGCGTCACAAATCGGCCTTCGAGAGAGAGCAAATATTTCGCCGCAGCCTTTTTTTTTTCCTTTTCCTTTCCTTCGCCCTCAGCGTTGAGGGGTCGGAGGTGCCGCCGCGGGATTGGGCAGAGTGCTGAGAGCATTCTCGGAGCACGGTAAGTTTGAATTAACCCTCAAAAGTGCTTGTGCGTTCGAATGACCTGGCGTTTTCGCCCATTGACATACACATAGCTTTGACGGGACCTCATTGCGAGTTTAAATTAACCGGACGTTTGAATTAAGTGTGTTCAAATTAATGAGATTCGACTGTATATATCCTAAAATTGTCTCAGACTTATTAAACCAACGGCCAGTTTGAATGAATAAGTGCTTTTATTTTAGCCAGCGAAGAGGATCAAGCAATACTTCACGTAACATTTCCCTCGTTTTCGTCTTTTGTTTTGCGTTGATTTATCACTACGGTGCCGTAGCGCGTTCTAAGTTTGGTTGGCCATACAATGTAGTTTCTTGGTACTTTAACTCTGCTGTATAGCTTACTCACGCTGTGTTTTCTCTATCCTTCTTTATTTCGTTTTTACTGTAAAGGCGAAAGCCTTACATGTCTCAAACGTGAAAATTGACCGACTGTACCCCGTGTTGGAGGCGTCAACATGCAAAGCAAAAAGTTATCTTCTTGTGCTCATGACTCATTGATATCGAAAATTAACTTTTTACGCTTTTACAGCTTGCGCAAGTTCTGTACAGCATTTCGGTGCAACCCCTCTTGCACCCTCACCCTAGCAAACTTCTATTGATAGGGCTGAAGTCTCGATTGCATGCAACAGATATGTGTTTTGATTTTTTTGAGCAGTGAGAAGCTGCATGTAGCTTTGCCTGTTCGGCATATCACCTCTACACTTTTGCAAAGTCATCTCAGTGCCTATATAAACTAAAACAGTGAGCATTTCACTAATCGGCTTCCGTATTACCTACTGGCATGGAACGAGTAAAGGGCGGCTAGTTTGTTGACCTTCATTAAATGTGTCATTATTCATTGCAGCTGTGTCAAGAGCGCTCATGCAAAGTCCAATGCAGCCTCAACAGTCTCCATCTCGCTGACAGTTCCCGTCGACACTTGATAGGCGGGCGAGCTCTGCATCTTTTTGCGCTATACAGATACGCCGTGAAGCCATGGAAAGTTATCAGCACAGCGTCAGTAAAAGTTCCAGAACTTTGCACGGTGACTTTAAAATGCCTCTGATTAACGACTGGTCCATGTGAACGATGTCACACTCATCGTAGTGCTTTTCGCACATGTGCACATTCGGGAAAACAAATGTGAAACTACTGTTTTTTTTTTTTGTCATGGCATTTCGCTTTTACACTTTTCCCGCTGATCACTGTGGACAGCGAGAACTCAGAGACTTTCTCGCCATTTCATTTGTAACCGGCTCGACAACCAGTTACCAAGCAGGTATATGGTGTCCTTCCTGATCTTTAGGCACAGCGCACTAGGCACAATAGTAATCATACGGTGAAAAACTACGCGATGGTACGTCATGATATTATGCATTGACCCCATAGTGGCACCAGACGCTAGCTTCCCTCCAGTCTACCCGATGCCCTGCTCAGTGATGCAGCCCCGCCACGCAGCCTCCGCTCTCAGCGCACAAAGCTCTGCCATAGAGTTACGGTGAAGCTTCACGACCAGTAAAAGTATTGAAGAACTGTGCCAAAATGTGATACACTCCATCCTTACTCTTCTAGTTGCTTCATTCTCACGGTTCGGCTGCGCGGTTACTACTTGTGCTAAGTAGACATATTCCTTTACAACTTCCAGCATCTTTCCACCTATCACAAAGTGCTGTTTTTTGCCAAGGCAGTTGCACATTACATTAGTTTTGTGCATATTAATTTTCAGACCTACTTTTCTGCTTTCAGTGTACAGTTCAGCAATCATGAGCTGTAATTCGTATGCTGAGTTACTCATTAAGGCAATGTCATCACTGAATCTCAGGTTACTAAGATACTCTCCATTAACTCTCATTCCTAACTCTTCCCAATCTAGGGTCCTGAAAACCTCCTGTAAACATGCGGTGAACAGCATTCGAGGGATCGTGTCTCCCTGCCTTACACACTTCTTTATTGGAATTCTGTTGCTTTTTCTATAGAGGATTATAGTGGCTGTATATCCGCTGTAAGATTTCTTCCGATTTGTTTATGTAGGGTTCGTCGATGCCTCGATTTCGTAGTGCCTGCATCACTGCTCATGTCTCGACTGAGTCAAATGCCTTCTCGTCATCTATGAAAGCTATGGATAGGAGTTGGTTGTATTCCGTGCATTTCTCAATTACCTGATCAGAATTTTCGTCTCCAGAGATAGTTTGCTAGTGTTCTGTCTAGTGACTGTGCCTCCGACTTCCATTGCAAACTCTTTCATGTTACTAGTAAGATTATAATTCATTGTGTCTACCCAAATGTCATTTACCTTGTTTGGGGCCTCGAGTCTATTCTAAAGCTAAACTCCGAATTTCTCTATTTTCCCTTTCATCTTCATTAACATGCTTCTTGCGTACATCAGTTTTTCATTGCTTTTCTTTAAATGTAGGTGAATACGAGCTCTTACCATTCTATGGTCACTGCATCGAATCTTTCCAACTACTTCTACATCCTGTACAATGCCTGGGTGTGCACACCGAGTGAGGTTTACTTCTTTTCTAGTTTCACCATTAAGAAGTCACCACGTCCACTTATGGTTAGCCTGTTTACAGAAGAAGGTATTCAAGATCCGTGAAGTATTGCGTTCTGCTAACTCTACTAAATCCCCTCTGGCAGTTCAAGAGTCGACGCCATATTTCAGCACTGCATGGTCTGCGGTTTGTTTCTTGCCTACTTTGGCATTAAAGTCAATTGCTAGAGAGTTGCTGCAAAGCAACTGTCCAAGGCAGCGGTCAGACATGCGACGCAGCGGAGGGTGCCAAGAATCTCTGGGTCCCGACAGGCTGCCATTAGAATCTGAACTTGGCCACCTTCAATGCTAAAACGCTATCTAGTGAGACTAAGCTAGCTGTGCTGTTCGAGGAATAAGAGGGTATTAAATAGGATGTAACAGGGCTCAGCGAAGTTAGGAGGACACGTGACACTTACACAGTCCTGAAGAACGGACACAGCCAATGATACCGTGGATTAGTTGACAGAAAATTTCTAGGAGTGGGGGTTCTTACACGCAAGAATATCGGTGGCAACATAGAGGAACACTATAGCATCAGTGAGAGGGTGACAAGTATTATAATTAAGTTAAACAAAAACTACAATATGAAGGCAGTACAGGCTTCCGCGCCTACATCGAGCCATGATGATCATTTGGTTCAACACTTCTTTGAATATGTAAAGTCAGTCATTAATAAGGTAATGACACAGCATACTATTCTGATGGGTTTGAATATCATGTGATAATACTCTTAAAGTGAAGGGCAGTGTCACGAATGAGGGCTAAACTAAGCACATGTCTCCGTTTTCAAATGGCAGTGGGAAATCCAGGTGTCAGTTTGTCGCGACGGGGCACGTGCAATGAGAAAAAAAAAAAACAAGCATCAAGAAACGCTGCAGGCGAGCCTCGTCTCCTTCTTGTAACGGCCGCCACTGCCGGTCTCGGATCAAATGCCGAGTGAAATCCAGAACCATCCCGACAGGAAGGCTGACGCAATGCCTAGTTTGCTACGATGCATGGAAACTATGAGAAAGATCTCGCTCTTTCACTAGCTTTGGCAGTGTTGGAACCCGGATATAACGTAATATCAGTGTTAACGGAGTAAATGAAGAATACTCTTATAATAGGTATAATGTTAGAAATATAATTTTATAATGAATTTCTGGATATAATGAACCTATTTTCATGTAAGGTACAACCTCACTATAATGAGATTTGAGTGGCATATAGGTTGTGCTTTGCTCTCTATATGCAATTTCTGTTTCAAACTTTTCAAAATAAGCATTCACTTACTACTATTTATGGGGTCACGTACCCCGTCATGGAACAGTGCATCAGAGGAGTTCTCAGAGCAGAAGCAATCATTTAGGTAGCGTCAGTGCATATGCTGTCTTAGCGAGAACAATTCACAGGTCCACTACGAATTTCCCCAAGCTACACATGAATCATTATTCTTTTATTTTTGTCTCATTTCACACAGAAATGTGGAAAGACCGTTGCTCTTGTCACTGAGAACAAGTAACACCACCTTAAGTGGGTTTGCACGATTTTAAGACCTTTGTCTTTGTGCACACTGTGAAAATCAGTTTTCTCAAAAAGCGCACTTCCAGCTAGACAGTCATACAGGGGGCACCGGAATTAGTAAAACAGGAGGCACTAGAAGTTTTAAAAAATTCAATTTCCTTTATCTTTATTATTATTGCAAATATTTAGCAATTTTCACAGTGACTGAGTCTTCCATGTTATTGAGGTGAAAAATCCGTAAACAGAAGTTGCTTAGAGCTGACGTTTAAACAAGCGGACTTGTCTTCCTCAAGCATTGAAAAAGTCAAGTCTGCCTGTCGAAACGTTGGCTTGACACAACCTCTATCTATGGGTTTTTCGTCGCAAGCTTCTGTCTTTCCCTTCCTACTGTTTTTTGGATGCTATTGGTGTGCAAAATACGAAAAGCAGAGTAAATGTGTACCTTGAGTACAACCATAGGCATTGTTCAGCCTGATGTTCTTTGGTTGAGGTCCCTAAAGCCACTGTAAGCAAATGGTTTCAATTCCAACACAATCCGTACTCAGAGCAATGAGCCCAAGTGTTTTTGCAAAAATAGTGTGCTATACCAGAAGCAGTGCTCACCCAACGGCCTGGTAAATCAAGCCTTCATTGCCCTGCTCAAAGATAGCATTGACCACACCTTCAGCCACATTTTCCGTGTAGACAGGCTGCTTGATGATCCCCTTGCCTTTGTTCCACACAGGCACGTATGTGAAATTCCTGCGCACTGCAAAATTTAAAGAGAGAAAACAATGCCCCAATCACAATGAAAGGTGACAATGTTTGGCTAAGTTTGGAGTAACACTAAAGAAGGGGATGCATGCACAGAGCTACCTTTGCAGGGCTGTTTAACTAATTAATAACAGTAAGGCAAAATTTTAACATTAAATGTGCACACATCATTAAAAAGTTGCAAAATAGATTAATAAAACTCCCATGTCATTCGACTTCATTATACTGAGAATGCTTTCGATGAAGCCCTCATAACATCATTGTGAAGAAAGATTAACTGCTTGACAAGTTCACAAGTCTAGCAAACTGGGGGCTGTGCAAAAAAAGCCCTGGAAGTAAGAAAGCAACCTCTCCCTTGAAGGGGAGGCATGCTGTAGGATGCTTTTATAAGCGGTTAGATAGGTAACATCCTAGACAGTTATTTTATAGCATTTGTTTTAAAAACCGGAGGAAACTCAAGCTTCACCGCCCAAAGCAAATCGTGATCGCCTGATCAGGCGAAAATATATCAGCGTAATTATAGATAGCGTAATTATATTAACAACATACCTGGTGGAACAGATCGAAAAGGGTAAAGTACATTCTATAGTATGCAATAAAGTTTCTGTACCTAGTAACATGTTGCATTTATATATTTGGTTTCTCAATTGAGCAAGAAAAGATTGCTGAACATTGGACTACCATATAAGCCATGGTTTAAAGGGCCACTCACCAGGTTTGACAATTTTGAGCTTATAAGCGCACTGCATAGATGAGGCGTTCATGATCACGTCTGCCAAAATTTGCAACGCTACGCCCCGCGAAAATGGGTCAAATTTCAAGATGAACGCTGCTCCCCCTCCCTTCTGCCACAGCGTGCGCCCAGAGAATGAGGGCATTACGTGCGTGTATGAATGACCCTACGTTCACGGCAATGCAGTAATGTTAATCCTCTACGTAGACGACTCTGCTTTGACGTTGCAAACAGTGGCACGTGACATGGCAAAAATTATTTAACACGGCATGCGTTGTTTATGTAATTTGTTGCTTGAAGAGGTTAATAAAGCTCTAGATAATTAATGGGCGCAATAAGAGAATGTGAGCGTCTTTTTTCCATTTTTCTCCCGCGAATCGCAACGAGATGTGGGGCTAATGTGTTGGCGTTTCGCGTGCGTTCGTGTCCCCGTGGTCAGCGCATTGAGCAGACGATCGCAGTAGAACACTCCTACGCGTTCGCGCACTCATTGTGCTCAACCATTCTATCGCGTCTAAGCCAGCGTTTCCAAACCATCCCGCAGAAATAAGCTGAAGACCACAAAATAACGCTGGTCAATAAAGCAACGCCGCTCGCGTGCTCGGGGGTTGGACTTGTTTGAGCACGTCATGCGCATGTGACATTTTGGTCGGATGCTGGAGAGGATGGGGAGGAGATTTTTCTTGCCAAGGCTATGCGGAAGAGCGGCAAGGATTTCGAGCTCGTCTCCTCTCATCTTCGTTTCGCGACACTTCAAAAAAACCCGTTTTCTCCACTCGTGATGACCCGATTAAAAAAAATTTTGTGGCAAAACGTTCCTCATCGGACACCCAACAACTTCCACTGTCTACTAAAATTTGGTTTAGGGCTTGGTGAGTGGCCCTTTATATTAATGCTGATTTGGTTGGTGTAAACTGAGTTTTCTGCTCTCACATGTAATGAGGCCCGCAAATAAAATGAGGAAAGCGTACTGCAGCATAGACAAACCGCACTCTCTCAGTAGTAGTGCTTCAATATGGCATTTCCAAAAGGCCTGCTTGCTTTCCATTGAAAAAAACCCGGCTGTGTACTCCGTACTCTAAAACCGCATGATAACACAGCGCAATACAAGCTGTACGATGACTAAGAAACTGCGTTATCAACTAACATTTTATATAATACAGTAACGCATTTCCACTGAAGGGAAGACGCGGGTCGAAAAGTCGCGGTTTTCCGGAAAATTTTCGCTTTTTTTTTTCCGGCTGTATTGGCATCCTTGGACTATAATCTATTACTTCTGAAAATATCAAGCTGAAATTCGCACGAGAAATTATCAAAAAATGCTTCCAAGTGGGTAGCGGTGACGCGAGAAATGCGCGAAAGTCGCGAAAAACGGCGAAGTTCGCGTCGTCCTGTCGCGAAAACGACGCGTTGGCCGCCATTTGCAATCGTGCACGCATGCTGCGAAGGCCGTATCCTTCATAATCCACTAGTAGCCAGTCTCGTGCCTTCATGCAGAATAAACAAAAAACAAGAAAAACAACGCGTACGTCACGCGTTTTGAATATCGCGGCACACAGCGCGAGGCTGCCATTGGACGGCGGTGCGCTCCACGCTCCTCCCCCTCCTATCTCTCCGGCAAAAGAGCGAAGCCTCGGACGTCGCGATCGAGTTTTTCTGCGTTTCTCTGCATTTTTGCGTCATGGCAAGCCCGAAGAAGTGCAGTTCACATAATCGAAAGTTCAGAACTCGCCCCAAGTATCGAGGGAAACGACGTCGGACGCTTCGCAAAGCGACAGCGAACGACGATGTCGCCCCCGACCAACGCCCCGACGCTCCGACTTCGGATAGGCCTAACACCGTCCCCGAACCCTGCGACAGTGGTTGTGAAATAGCCGCTGCCGTGGAATTCGTCAGTGCATCCCAAAGGAAGATTGGATTCTTCGAGAGTGAACGTAGACCGGTAGATGCTGCTACTGCGAACATGCTGCTTTGCGAAATCGATGCGCTGACGGCACTTGTGGCGGGTGCGCAATGCCCAACCTGCCGCGAACGGAAGCTCGGCGTGCGAGAGGCAGCTGGAAAGCGCAAAGGACTTTCGGCATTCCTCGAACTGTGCTGTCGAAATTCTGATTGCCCTGAATCTGCACTTTCGTTCACGCACACGTCGAGACGTACTGCTTCGGCCGGGGACCAAGGAACGAGCGCTCGTTTTGACAGCGGCAGCTCGCGTGACAGCTTTGCTGTAAACGTGAAGGCAGTTCTGGCAGCACGCGCTATAGGCGCAGGCCACGACCAACTTTCACGATTTTGTGCGATTCTCGGTCTTCCGAGCCCGATGCATCACAAGACATTCAGCGGCATTTGCAAGAAGCTCCATGGTGCGGCGATGACGGCAGTGAGCAAAAACTTGCACCAGGCACGAAACACCACGAAGGACGCAGTCGGCGGCAGAGATGTGCCAGTCATGTTTGATGGCACCTGGCAGAAAAGAGGTCATAAAAGCCACAATGGAGTGGGCACAGTCGTGTCCCTGGACACGGGGCTCTGCCTTGATTTTGAAGTTCTTTCGAACTACTGCCATGCTTGCAGTATACACAGGGACCTTGGGGAGGATGAAGAGATATGGCGAGCTTTTCATCTTCCAGTTTGCCAAAAAAACACTGACTGCTCATCCCATGCAATGGAACCTGCGGCAGCTGTCAATATATGGCAGAGGACCTTGTCTTATGAAACTCCACTGCGATTCACCAGCTTCCTAAGTGATGGTGACAGCAAGGCCTACACTGCAGTCTGCGAGGCAAATGTATACTGTGACACCCCCATTGACAAAGAAGAGTGCACGAACCACGTTGCAAAGCGCTTGGGAACTGCCCTACGGAAATTGGCAACGCCACTGCCACGAGGCGAAAAACTGAAAGATGCGACAATAATAAAACTACAAACATATTACAAGATCGCCATCACGAGCAACAAGGACAGTGTCCGAAATATGTACACTGCCATATGGGCATCGTATTTTCATTGCTGCTCCAGTGATGGTGCCAGTAGCCACAACTTTTGCCCCGCGGGACCAAATTCGTGGTGCAAGCACAAGCGTGCGGAAGCACTGGGGGAGCCTGCACCACGCCACACCCCACTGTTGACGAAGGCTCAAGGTTTGGCAATTATGCCTATCTACAAGCGCCTTACAGAGGAGAAACTCCTTATTCGGTGCCTTCATGGCAAGACACAGAAGGCAGCCGAATCGCTGAACAGCAAGATATGGCTGCTATGTCCAAAAACAAAGTTCGCCTCCAGAACAACTGTGGAGACAGCCACCGCTCTTGCTGTACTCTGGTACAACAAAGGCCACAGGGGCTTTGAAGAAGCGCTCGAAGGCATTGGAATTCTCCCCTCACAAGATCTGGCCACACATGGTGACCACTGTGACGTCATGCGCATCAGGAAGATGAACCTGAAGCAAACTGCAGAAGCGAGGGCACACCGTCGCAACACAGCGAAGAGAGCTCGTGTTGAGGACACTGACCGCAAGAGCCGTGAAGGACCAAGCTATGGTGCAGGGGACTTCTAGACACTTGCAGTGCATTCAAGGCAAGGTACTTTTCATTGTGCCCCAATTTGATGCAAAAGGAATGATTTCCTAATAAATGCCAACTTTGCGAACTTTCAAACTTGTTTTTCTCATTTTCATTTTTTCTTACAGTTTCACGTTTTCCGGGCAGCCTTTTAGAAACTTATATTCATTGTATAGTAACGAAACTTGGCACACATATTCTTCAACACATGCAGAATGCAAATATCTACTCTAAATTGCAATGCCTACCAGCATTAGTTGTGAAAATATTAGCTTATTGTTTCAAGGGAGATTGAAAATAATAAGTCATTCAATACAATTTTTTTTTTCTTGGTTCCAATATTTCTGTGACATATCTATATAGATATTTGCACTTTTCAATCTACCAAGAGTCAAATAAGATCAGACACAGTGCTTTTACTGAAAGTTTAGTACATAAAAGAGTGCCCGCAAAAAATGTAACTTTTTGCTATTGTTTATGGCATAACTCAATAATTATAGCAGCTACACAAAAAATGATTGCATATTTGAAATCTGCATGAAAAACTATACTAATAACAAACTTTTCAAGTCTCTATTACTAGAAATAAAAAAAAAACTTTTTCGAGGAGCGTCTCCCCTGAAGCGTTGCCTCTGCCGAACACAGACAATGGCTGCATTTGCTTATGGCACCCCTGACAACAGCACAACCTTTTGGCATTGACAC